CGGAAATAGCAAAAAAATCTGCAGGTCCTTCAGCTGAATTCAGTTTCGGACAACACAAAGTATCACTTACTTCAGCTGCTTATCGTGTTCCAGTTCCAGCACCAAGGTACTATGTTGATAGAGACTTTTGCTGGATTCACCAGACTTTCCTCCAACTGAATGTGTCTCATTATATCGAGGCTCTCCACTGCGTGGACCTTAATGACCATCCGTACGCTTAGAACACACATTGTCACAGTCAAAGATGTATGTTCGCATAATGCGACAACTTAGCGTTTGTCGCACATTTCGTGTCAACCAGCAGCACAGGGGTTACGCAACTGAACCTATCCCAAATACCGCCACACAGTGATCGTTGACAGGGGATTCTTCGAGAGGAAAGGGGGGTTGTTTGCTTCAGTGAAAGGATTGACAGATATCAAACAGGAGACCTCTCGAGCGACGCGAAACCAGGGACGCACACGGGTCAGCGGACGAGTTGCAGCACTGTGCGATGTGGGACGTACTAGTGTACATTCTATTTACTTGACGCTAAATCGCTACAGTACGCGCTGCGACTCGTCCGCTGACCCGTCTGCGTCTCTGCCTTCTCGCTGCGCGACAGGCCTCCTGTCAGGTATACATATGGATTGTATATGGAGTTATGGGGCAGCATGAATAAATAGGAGCACGCAAAATGTCAAAGTTGCTGATTTACTAGTCACATGCCACGGTCACCCCTACCTCCTCTTCAAACATTTTCATGGAGGCGGGGTCGCATGGTGTCAACGTGTCAGCTAGAACCAGGTCCAACGACCCTATCACTTCGACCATAGAGGCTTTTTACCGAGACTTCAGGACCTCCGTCAGGTGAGGGGGGGGGTTGTACTATAGGCACTTCCTGACGTCATGTTCACTCGTTAAATACACACAGTAAGTGGTCACAGCCTTCATAGAAAAAAACAAAAGAAAACTCGGGAAATACCTGCGTATCGAGTCCTACTTGGGTCACGACTAGGCGGTAAACTAACTGCCTCCTCGATTTCAGCTCCATGAAGATCCACAGATCTTGATCTGAAAAAAGCGCATTAGGACTAACCGCTTGTTGGCCACATACCAGTGGTTTAATACCATATTGGCTAGTTGAACACGACAAAAACGGAGGACTACAAAAGGAAATTGTCCAAAAATAGCTAAAGGAAGAAGGAGCACCATCTACAATCTAGAGCGAAAATGGCAGAGACTAACCTTTTTGACTGACTCCACCTTCTGCCACTCAGCCGATCACGTAATTCTCCGAAGAATGATCGCTCTCGTTTTTCCGGAAGAGTGTCATTCTTTTTTTGCTTTTCTCTTTCTGAAGATTTCCATTTCTCAACTGAGTTTAGTAACTACACGGTAAGAAAACAAACGTAGACTAATGTAGGCCGATAGAGTTCATAAGAGGGAAAAGTTGAAGAGAAATAGCAATCATTGTAGTGAAAAGCTAGCCGCTATTCAATCACCTCGCCCTCGCCTGTCTTGCTTTGATTCAGCTGGTTGTTGTTCAGGTGGAGGAGTTGGCACACTGATGGTAGTGGTGGTGGTAGTGGTTGTTCGGTTCGGAGCTGCTTGTGTAGCTGTGGCAGCGCCCTTCTTCACGCTATCCTGGAACAATATTTTTTATATATTGGCTTATTTATTTTTTATCCATATTTTTTTTATCTTGAAACGATGACGATGACGTGACTGATATCGGATCACACTCACGCGGCCCATGTGCGGCTTCGTTCATTAAATCTCATGCTTTTTTTTCTGCTCAAAATAGTAATATGCAAATAATACATGCTTTTAGGATACAGATCAACTGGTATGATTTCACGCCTGTTCCACTTAGAAGCAAAAACCTTGCGGGTTGGTGTGATTCGATATCGAACCACGACAAACGTCTCTTCTCACCCTTCCTAAAGAGAAAAACATGCTGCCTTCAATGTAATGAGCGGTGGCAGAAAGCTAGCCACTCATTTTCAGATACTGGCGCTCGGCTATGTATACTCGAGGGCTCCTGCCA